GCTGGTACCAGAAATGGAAGCGCCGCCATTCCGTCAGCCTTCGCACCAAAACAACACTCGCTCAGCGTCTGCCTGAAGATTTGGAGCAGCAAACAGTCAAATTCCATCGATTTGTAATCACATCCCGTCAGCGTCACGGTTATTCCCTATCAAGAATGTTTATCTTTTCTGTGAAAACACATTAAATTTAACAAACGGCTCCTTTAGGAGCCACCACATTCTTAAAAGTTATTAATAACCAACGATTGCATATTGTGTTTCTTTACTTTAGCTCGGCTTATACGTAAATACATCTCGATTTAGTAGAGTTTCCATGCGCCGGAAAAAAATTTTTTCAAAAACTTTCGGCTATAAGCCGAGACCCCCTCTAGAGCCAAATTTTAATTCACTTCAGTTTTAATTTGTGTAAAAATCGCTCGGCTTATAGTCGAATAAATACGGTACTGAACTTCATCAAACATATTTAATGGACCCAAAAACAAAGAAGAACAAACTACAACTTAACAACAAAAAAGAATAACATTGTTTTCTTATATTTACAGAACATTGATTCCTTGTCCAACAGTTGTAATTTCCTATCCAACTCGTCTGCAAACTCAGAGCCAAAAATATTACGCTGAAGTACATGTATTTCAAAATGCCCAAAACGATAAAATAATCGAATATAAACTTAATGAATCAATCACCAAACAAATTAAACTAAGCACCAAATAAATCAGCGATTGAATAAATAAACGATAAACTAGCATTTGTCTCAAAACACTAAACTATTTCAAGAAAGTGTAATTGACAATCGGTAAAATCGATTTCCGACCAATTGACTTTCGTTACTTTCAGGGGTCGCTCTTTAGAGGAAAACAAGTAAGCTTAAGTGCGCGAGCAAAAATGATTGTGGTCGACTTACCTTGGCGAGCGCCATAAAGTCGCTTGAGACGTTTTTCTTTATCTTCGAGGAAAAGTGCTCTCCCTAGATCCGCCAGATCAGTGGAGAAGGGCTCCTTTTCTGGCGAACTAGCTCCGTCCAAGATAGTTTGGTGGCCTAAAAGGTCTCCCAGCTGATTGCCAAGATTATCTCGGTGTTCCACACTTTCTTCCTCCGAGTCACTAGAATGAGAATCCAGGTAGCTTCTAAAGGGATCACTCATTCTTTTTGGTGATGGATGCTACGCGGGTGCCTATTACGAGAGTTACCCCTGCGACGAGTAGGCAGAAGTTGTCCTTTTCACGAAAAACGTGCGGATTGTAAACGCGGGTGCCTACACTTCCTTTTCCACGGTGATGATTTCCGTCACAAATTTTGTTTTTGTTCCAGTCCCCACGATTCACGCGCCGATTTGCCGTGATGTAACCGATGCATTGTGGATGTATAATTTTCAAGATGGCGGCCAAGGCAGGTAGTTAGTTTCTTTATATTTCGATAGACATAGTTCTTTTGTGACAAAAGTTATCCATATTTACATAGACCTATCCTTATTTAGGCTTTTTCTGTGAAGAAAAAAAAAATCAATATTCCTTATTACAATCTAAATCAAGGAGCACGAAGATTCATCCTCTACGAGCATGAAATTTGGGCTCATGGCTCGTGCGAAATTTGAACCCTTTGTTTGGAGAGCTATAATTTCTATCATTGTGCGCATTTAATTGACGATAGAAAACAGTCTTAAGTATTTTTACAAAGATTGTTCTACGCCAAGGTATAAACGCTCCCCACTTTTTTAAATAGTTTTTTCGAATTAAAACTGACAAGTTTTCATATGTGGCCTCGCACAGACATACAGAGACATAACATGTCACATTGGTTATATACAGGAGCATGAAGCCCGGCCTGTGGACGATTGCACATAACAAATGTCAGATTTATGAAAAAATATATGAATGAAAAATAGCCTATTACATTGTTGTCACCTTTTGAAGTCTGATTGAAAACAAAACATTACACCAAGTAAAATGAGGATGTGATGCATGTGAAGCCTCTGAGAGTATAAGGAAAGCACCTGAATATTTTTCCTTAAAGATAAGAAAATAACTATAAATACGGATAAACCCTGTACATTTTGAATACAGCTACCCATTATGAAGTAGTGAGAGAAATGCATGAGTAGTGTAATGTAGAAGCCACCAAGCTGGCACTTTGACTCTAGTCAATGGAATATTCCCATTGTTCTTATTACACTTTAGTGTCAAGTTAATAACTATCTCTGTTTAAGACCAGTGTGTGTGTGTGTGTGCGTGTGTGGGTGGATGTTAGGACTATATTTGTAGTTTAGAGGAATTTGAAACAGCTGGCAACAAACTGCTTATACACTGAGGTCAGTCAACCTATTTACCCTAAGAACACAGTTTTATCAAGAGATTTGCATATTTTGGTGGCTTGAGTTAATTAACAATTAAAAATAATGAATTAGGCTGAGTATCTTATGAAGAATTATGGAGATCGAGGGGGGTGTTATCAGCTGAGGCGGATAACACCCTCCGAGATCTCCATAATTCTTCATATGATACGAAAGCCGAATTCAATAATTGTTTTATTACTCAGTCAAAATAATTCCTAGTTTAAAAACATGGCTAAAACATGCTTACCTCCATCGATGTTAAGTTCATCTTCGATAGTGCATGTTTAGGTTTGTCCAGCTCCGCAAATATTTTCCAAATAGCAGATGTCACCCTTCGAGCTGTCTTCTTGCTGTTCTTGCCATGTTTTTAGTTATTTTTTCGCCTAGTCCTCACTCTTGAAACGAGTGAAATGTCCACCATTTTTTAAGTTCACAACCAAAACAACTCAACCTCATCCCCAGGTCTTCTCGGTTAACGGTGCCTTAACCTGCACGAACACTGCATTTTTGACGTCATTTCCTTGTTAAACACAAAGTTCTTCCAAATTTGGTCATCAGAAACTGGTTATGGTGAATTATGTGTGTGCTTTTAGCCAATCAGAATTGGGGAAATATTTTGACGCAATTATAACTGGGGAACCAGGGCTAAGGGAAAAATAGTTGACGGGAAAGGAAATCTCTGTTGTACCCGGTAGTTAATTTTTTTATCTCAGGTAATTTTTCTTTTTCTTTTGTCTTTGGGTATTTTACTGTGTGCTAATGGAGTTGAAACAAAAGAAAAATAAAATTTACCTGAGATAAAAAAATAAAGACAAGATATCAAAGGCACTACTAGGATCCACCACAGTGATGATTGCTAACCCAAAGACTGAAATATATCAACAACATGGAAGGAAAAATAATATCCATCGCTATAAGATAACGGCACTCAAAAACTAATCACCAGGCCAATATAATAAAAAGTAAATACATTTACCCAAAATTTTGCGCCTAAATAACACCTATGACACAACATTTGAATGAAACAAAAGTAGTTCAGGGGAGAGGGATCACAAGGAAGGAAAGGGAAGGGGTCTCCCTACATGTTCAAGGCTGTGCTCTAAGGAAAATTGAAGGGAGCCCAGTGCTCTGAAACTGTAAAATCTAGGGTGCCCAGCATATGATTTGTATGAAAAATCTGAGATTTTCTTGTCGCCCGAGGGCAAAAGTTAGGGGCCACCGGGCTCTGCTAGAGCACACCCCTGCATGTTGCACCTGATTACAGCAGATTTGTAAATGCAGATAAGATTTTCACATTTTGAATTTAAAAAATTATTATTACACAAAAAAAGTGATGACATGTGTTTGTACATACTGATACAATCATTCATATAAAAAAATAAAGGCAAAAACTATGAATGTCTCCTAGGCTCAATTCTTGTAACATAATCTGCTTGACTGTATAAGGATTAGTAACCACAAATGCTGAATAGCATTTTCAATTTCAAACCTTACATTCTGTGACTCATAACAATAGAAAGCAAGGGTACTAGTTTGCAGTATTTCTTCATTAGCTTTTTATTTAAGACTTAAGATCCCTGAAGAAAGTGCTCAAAATTATTTAGAAATATGACACAATTCACTGTACATGTATTGATATCTTTATTTACTTTTCATTTACTTCATGTGTGAAAAATACAGATGGTTAAACAAATAAAAAATGCAACCAGGGTGCCAACAGAGACCTAAATCCCTGTAAAGCTGACCCACTAAAGTTCTCTTATAGTACCTGGCAACTGTTTTACGGCTATCTTGTTAGAAGGAAGCATATGCAATTTTACAAGATTAATTAAGCTTATTCATCCTGGCCCATACCAGTCTGTTTTCAAGCCAACTTAAGCTTAAATTTGTCTTGCTAATAATGAAGAAATCGTCGTAGTACCTCGTAGTTCTAGTTGCACTAATCTGACGATGAAATCATTTTTTTTTTTGGTGAACCACGGGTCTTATCTTTGGTGCTTTTATGACTGAAGCATACAATGTAGAACAAAGCATCAATAATTCTTCAATTAATTTAGGCCATCCCAAAAAAAATGTTTCATTTCCCATCGCCCGAATGACCCATTTTTTTTCGAAAAGTAAAAAAAAAATCCGACTCACTAGTCAAAGAAGCAAGTACTTTAATTTACAAGCACACAATCTTGTTTTATTAACATCAATTGGTATGATGTGATGTCTTTGTCGTTAATGAACATCGATACTACGTTTTTTAAAGGCTGTTTAGACATTTGATAGTCGAAAAGACCACATTTTCGAGTTGACTTTGTAACCAGGCTTTCTTACTTAGCAGCTCGGCCTTCTCTGGAACCCAGACCCCTTCAAGTGTTTATTCTTTTTTTTTTTTTCCCAACTGACCAACCCACCATCACCAGAGACGGGGCGATGGGAAACAAAACATTTTATTGGGATGGCCTTACCGACTGCATGCGAGTGATTTCGAACAAAATACACTTATTAATGGAATGACACTGTTCTTCCCCAATAATTCGATAGGCTTTGTTTTTACAGATGTCTCTGGAAGAAAATAAAGGTAAATTGCTGATTTCTACAGCATATTTAACGAATATTCCACTCCACAGTCGCTTCTCCTCGCCATCTTGACACAAACGATCAGATTTTGAGTACCGCCCGCGATGCTTAGCGATCCCAGTGCACACACTGCCTGGGTCGAAAAGGATGAGTGTGGGCCCAGGTCGAAAACTCCAGTTGTCTTTTGAGTCTGAATGTCCTTCCAAACGAGTTGTGCATTTCACGACAATACAAGCTTTGTTACTGCAGCAAAGAGAAGAGGCATTCAAGCTCTTTCAATAGCTTTTCTCCAAGTTGAACAAACTGCATTAAACACTGATGTGAGCCGTGACAAGTCAGCCAGAGGTCTTCAAATAGTTTTAAGTCTATTTAAATGTTCTTAAAACATAGCCAGTCTTAATGTCTTAGTGATGCTGATAGTTTCGATGAGTCAAAAGTAGAATCTTAAACTTTATATGGTAACTTATCGGAAGCCAATGAAGGTGGAAAAGCAATGGTGTAACATGGCAGAATCTTATCCACTGGAGTTTCATGATATGTGAATTCGGGAGGCCATATAGTAGACTGTTACAATAATCTACTCTACTGGTTATAAAAGCATGAACTAATGATTCGGTGACTGAACGACTTAAATATTTCCTAATTCTACGCATGTTATAAGATAATAGAAAGTGGATGAGCAAGTTCTGTTGATATGACTTAGTACACTCATTTTCGAATCAAACTAGGTTCCTAGGTTTCGAACTTCACATGATGGAGCAATTTGGGAGTCGCCAACCAATGAGGTACTGACTTTCTGAAGTTGCTGTCGCCTTCCAATCAGAAGACATTCTGTCTTATCTGAATTCAGTTTTAACTTATCCGAATGCATCCATTGACTGATATCAGCAATAGATGATTCCATGGCAGTTATAGCAGCAGTCTCCTCCAAATCATTTCCCGGTCTAAACGCAATATACAGTTGCATGTCATCTGCATAACATGGGGATTAAGATGTGATTCGATGATCTTAAAAAGTTTGCTAGCATAGAGAGAAAACAATAATGGCCTGAGACAGCTGCCTTGTGGAACTCCAAATTTAAGATTAAAATTACTCGATAGAACTCCATCTATATAGATGCACTGGGTTCTGTTAGAAAGGTACGATTCAATCCAATTAAGTGCAGAGCCTGAAATTCCAAAATCAGACTGGAGGTCATCTAAGAGAATCGAATGGTCCACGGTAACAGACATCTGCGTAAAGTGTAGACTACTATAACATGGCACAGAATGCAGATGTTATGCACTGTTCTATTGAGTGCATTTTAATGTACCAAAAGCATTAAAGAGCACTATGGCATCAGTGTCATCTGCTTCAGAAATATCATCTGTGGTGTGTATTGCAACCTCCTTTCCACACCATTGTCCAGCACACAGTTGGATTGACAACATCCTTTTTGGCCACACCCATTGCACACTTGTCCACAATTTTTCCTTATTACCTCCACAACTCCTATTTGCCTTACAGCATCTTTGCTTTTGTTCAGTGGAATCAGGAGACTAGCAACCAGGGCTCAGCTCCATAGTCATAGTGACAAAATGTCGTTTTGGGGTCCTTATCAATGTAACTATTGCCTCACATAGCCTTAGAGACGACTGGTTAAAGGACTTGTAGGTGAGGATCCTTCTGAAGTCATTCACGTCAATCCAAGAGATGCCTCCTTCTCCCTTTGTTCTCAAAGCAGCTTGCCTGACCATTTCAACATTAATTTCTGAGGACACTGATTTGGGAATTCGTTGTCGATGGACCTAGAGAGTAATGAATTACTTGCTGCTTGGTTATTTTCTTTTCTAACCATCTACTTTATCTCCATGTGCATTTTTCCATCAGCTAGTCCTCGTTTGACATGATAGACACCTGGTGAGTGGAACACATTCAGCTCATCGCCCATTATCCTCCAAAGGCATGTTATCTATCCTACAAATTCTACCTGTTGGAGACTGCTCTCATCCAAACTTGCTTATCTGATATGTAAGGATGCATCGTGTGAACACAGAGCTGACCACTTAACCTGACTCAATTCAAACTTTATTTCAAAAAATATTACTTGCCTTAATAGTAACGCAATAAATAACATCTGAACATGAACTTTCGATAAGATCTTTTTGCACCAGTCAAGGTGCCCCTCAGAACAATGGGAATTGTCATGAAGAATAACAATATTATTTATACATTAACATGGTTTTCTCTTATAAAGGTTTCACTTTGAAACTCCAGGGCAATGAGAAAAAGTCAGTAACAACTCATGCCTCCGGAATGACTAAACTACTACAATAGGAAAACATCAGCAATTTCAATTCACCATTTACAAAATAATGGAAAATCAAATAAATTATTTACATTATTAATAATAAGTATCAATGAGCCTTGGCAACACAAGTAAAGCCGGCCCTTGCCATCACTCATCTCTTCTGATTTGAAGGCAGAAAGGGCGAGAACTGTGGAAGACTATCACGGCATTTCAGCGGAGTGGACAATGACAGAGGGAAATGAAAGAGACGACTAGCAGATCGTGACTCGAAAAGTTAGCATTGGCTGTATCTTTTACCGTTTATTCTGATGTACTTGCATTCTGCATAAGGTGATGAGTTTACCGATGTAATTTCAGCGATCTTGGGCAGTTTGATAAGACGTTTTTAGCTGTTTGCTTTCAAAGATGGAGCAGTCTGGTAGAGGTGCCAGTAACCATTTTCCCTCTTTCCCATCTCTCACAGTGCACATCTTCCACTTGCTTATCTCGTTAATATTAATACTTAATTAAGAGGTAAAAGAGACAGCTAGGGATGAGTTCATTTTTGTTAATTGCTAGCATAGATATTTATGAAGAGGCAGCAATTTGCTGAATTTACTGGGATCAAATGTTCAATAACCAAACACTTTTTCCAAAGTGTCCATTCACAAGAGTTTGGAAAAATTCGTCTATCATAATAAACAAAAGTCATTCTGTTTCAAAACTAAGTTATCACACTAACACCTCCAATTTCCAGGCGTTGGTTCCATTTTGCACTACAAATCCCTCACAGTAACTCATGTGCATTATCTTGGTCAATCAAAGGACGAACTGAGTGTTCCTCTACTAGAAATCTTACTCCCTGGACTGACTATACAAGGGGTGTCGACAAATTGGACAGGTACGACTGAAAGAGACAAAAAATGATAAAAAATTGAATTATTCACAAACCTTTCAAGAACTAAAATATTAGCAAAAAAGAGCAATTGACCTCTTTCCCTCCAACAGACAACTTTCTCAAAAAAAGACACTGCACTGACAACAGTAACAACAACAACAATAATCCTTATTTTCCTTATCATTAAGTTTAACAAAAGTGCACTGGCCTGCAGATAAATAGAGCTAATCTTGGCGGGCCAGTCAATTTATGTGTAGGGAAAATTATTTTAAAGTTTATTCTCTTATGTACATGTTTGTCTATAATACAAATGAGATGATATCAATTTTCAACAGTGTGACTAAAACCCACATGTCCACGCGTATAACAGTGCTAATGCTGTAACAGTTGGGATTTGGCCACCATACTAGGGGTTTAAGGTTTCTCCTTAATTAAAGAGTCAAGAAAAAAGACGAAATAATGGACAAGGAGCTACCCAGGTTGCTCGATTAAGAATGCTGAGTGTACTACGAGAGAAACAATGCATTTCAATAAGCCCTCTTATTACAGAAGTATTGTATATCGTGGCTAATGAGCTTTGCACTCTGATGAAGGTTGTTATATCCAGCCGAAATACAGGGGACTTTTATGCTCAATCGGGTAGTTTCCTATTATTTTTGCTGCTTGTTTTAAATTTATAAGAATTCAAATAGACTGTTGAGGCAGCAGGTTGATCAACACGTCAGACGGTTCAACTTAACAGAATTTTAACCACTCCTCGAAACATTAATGAACATTTTGGGCATGAAAAAGTGAAAACTACTAATAGAGATGTTGCAGCTGGTAAGATCATACAAGCTGTGCATAAGAACATGTCTCAGTTCACATGGTCGTGTCAATCATTGGTTGGCCTTTTCCTCCTTCAACCTTCTCCACCAATGAACTCAAAGGCAAAGTTCAAGGAAACATACTACTGTTCAAAAAAGAAAGGGGAAGTTTCCCAGCTGGTGGGAACTAACTCTGCATCAGCTATCACTTCCCTTATTGCACACTATTTTCTTACAGTAAGTTCATAAAAGGACAAATGGTAGCCTTTGTACAGCTGCATGCTGTTGTAGGAGATTACATAACACCTAAAATGTTAAAAGCACAGATACTGTTTGTCCTCCCAACAATGACATTACAATAAAGTACATTTCCCTTTCCTCAGTTTCAACTCAATCTACTTTGCATGAGTAATTATCAGTAGTATCCCAGCCCATATAAAGCCTAAGTAACCTGATGACTTACATGCCGTTTTGTATCATAGCAATTGCACATTCTCTATGGACTTTGTGTGAACACGGTAATATCTGGCAACCACTGAATGCATCCTGCAATTAGACAATTGGCAACTCAATATAACAACATTGAAACATATGAAAGATACAAAAGTATCTTTCATTCTAGTCTAGTGATAAATAATAACTGTAAATCCTCTATTAACCCCCCTCTCAATTAAGCCCCTTCCCTCCAATAAGTCCCCCCGCCTTTTCAGGGGAAGAAAAATAAGAAGCCACCTATCTATTAAGCACCCCCTCCCCTCCCCTCCCCTTCCCTAATTTTTCTTCACTAATAAATGATAGACTGTAATCAATCACGACTGAACAACTTTGTGTGGACTGATCTGGGGTGGTTTATTCACCAGCTGGAAGTTCAAATTTGATTCTCATCCTCGGCTGCATGGCCTCCAACCTTCTTGTACTTGAACTTTTATACTTTGTATTCTAGTTCTTTATGGAGAACTGATACCATTGTCTTTTCTAAATAACTTCAGCAACTCCCTACCCCTCAAATGAGCTTGAAATAAATAAGCCTCCTCGGGGGCTTAATAGAGGATTTTCTGGTGGTTGCTACAATCTTCCTGTTTGTACATCTAAACTCTTGAATCAAACAATTAAAGATGACTCATTTTTCTTATCCGGACCAAGGAGTGGTAGAGTTAATTGTACTTGATCACTAATGGTTTAAACTCACCTCTAAGCAGATGCAGCATTCATCATGACCTGAATCCGGTCGACATTTATGATTACCCTCGAGCCGTTTGTCTAAACACACATTACATACTTCACAATGGAATGATTTGTCCTGATGAATCCTGGCAAAAAATTACAAAAAATGAATGCAATAAGTTGATAACGACTACTTAAAAACTTTAAAAAACCAGAAATAGATGTGCTGGTTAATTGCTGGTGACCAGATCTAAGCATCCTAATATCCAGGGCCGGGTTGTTCAAAGCTGGGTTAAGATAACCCAGGGTTAGTGAGAAATTTGAATTCACACATGAAAGCTTAAAAAGTAAATTTGGTTTAATTCTTTTTGTCAACAAGTTGATGATTGGATGCTCTTAAATATAACAGAGAAAATTATCCGAGAAAATGCTTTTAAACAAGAAAAATAAACATAACCCTGGGATAAGCACTAATCAGCCTTCGATCAACTGGGCACAGGTTGCTATGACACAAGCAAGACACGTATGTAGCCAGCATTCATTTTGACTTTCACTAAGAATGAATGAAATGCATAGCACATTATCTAATTACGAGCGACTGGACCTTCTATCAAGTGAAAACAGAGCACAGCATTGGAGCAGTGGCATTTGCTTTGATCTCGCCCACACTCCCAAACCTTTGCTTTTTACTAGGACTTATCTTTCCTTTCTTTTCGAGCTGCAATTGCTTTTTCCTTACAAAGTTCAGATATAACATGCACTCTGATTGGTTAAAAAGCATGCTTTACTAAGAGTTTTAAAAGCTCATTAATAATTCATAAAGAAATAACAAAAGAAATTAATGTTCACTGGCAAATTTCTTGTATTGCGCTGCGCGTTTTGCAAACTTTGAAGAAGTTTTGGGTTTTTCTGTTTTGTCAATCATCTTAGCAGACCTCTTAGGAAACACTTTTACTTGAACGAGTTTAAAAGGTCATGGTACGTGATTTGTGATTGGGGGATTCTGATCCATTTGCTTTATTTACTGTGTCGGTTGTTTGTGATCATCCTGTTTCGGGCTATAATCTACTAGTTTGCTTAGAAGATTTTTCTGACCTTTCTTAATCTTGTCACTTGTAAGAATAAAGCAATGTCTATCTCAATCCCTCCACAAAAATTCCAATTGACATTGTTATTTCCTTCGCCATTCTCAGTTTTCTTTTGCGAGCCAAGCTAGGCGAGCGTGTTCAAATATTGTGATTTGCTTTAACCCCGCCCCCACTCAAATGCTTGATGGAACAGAAGAACCCAAAATGCATTTCAAGTTTGCAAAACAAGCAGCACGATACAACTAATTTGGCAGTAATAAGTGTCTTTATATCTGATAAAGACACAGAAACTTGACGCAGCGTGCAAAGAAAGTAGTGTCCGATAGCCCGGGGCTAGTGGATTTTGCTATCGGGCTAGTGAATTCTGTTTTCAACTTGCCTGACGGGCAAGTGATGTTTTATGAAGAGTTTGAATAACAGAAGAACAAAAAGTTTTTGGGGCTAGTTGAAATGACGTCTGGGCTAGTAAATGCTAGCTTTAGCTTGCCCGAATGGCAAGCTGTAAAAATAATTTTCTTTGCATCCTGCTTGACGTCCAATTTTTTAACACTTGACTACGTTTTGTGTTTCCCCCTACACTTCTTTCGTGCTCTAACCACTTCCTAACACTAAAAGCTTCACAACAGAACAAAGCACAATAATCACGCCTCTTTGTTCGTTTATTAAACAAGAGCATTGAGGCTTTGATAAATATTGCTATATTTGATATATTTTATTTCCTACAAACCTAATTTTGCTTGAACAATGATTCTTTTAACCTACCGGCATATTCCACATTTTTCACAATGATAGGGATTTTTGTCGACACTGGTGAAATGTTTACAGATGGCACAGAAATAAGCAGACATTTTCCCTCCACACTTACGACACTTGGCACTGTCTTCACCAATCTGCAACAATAACAATCACAAAACACTTAAACGTGTGAATTAAGTTTAGCCCAAAATAAAACTTGGTACCGGAAAAGTTAAAGCTACGGTAAAACAAGCAACAAAAACGTGCAACTTATTTTGCAATTGTTGCAAAACGAATTGAAAAGTGATATTGCGCATTTTACCACCCAGAAAGTGTTCAACAACTTTTTGCAATCCCCAACAAACTACTTTGCCAGACAGGTTGATTACGGGTGGCAAAATGGGCAACATCGCTATTCAACTTACTCTGCAGCAATTTTGCACAACAAGTCGCTGTTACAGGTGTTGTCCCTGTGATGGGCATAGTCCCTGTTTGACAAGTGTTGTCCTGTTGACAGATGATGCCCCTATAATGGGTGTTGTCCCTACCGAGTCTCTCGGAAACTATTGTTGAAAGTATTTGCAAATTCCTTGTATTCCTTGTACATGAACAGGAAAAGTCTCTAATTCTCTCTCTCTCTCTCTCTCTCTCTATTCTAGTCTGGCTCTCAACCCTCTATTATTTTTAGTGTAACAAAAAGAACAAGTTACCTCTTGTTCATGCTGACAGTGAGAGCATTTAAGGTGGGTGGCATGACAAGCTTTAGCCTCTTCATTGTCACAAGCTTTTGAGATGTTGTGACAGCGATGGCATGGATAGAATTGCGTGCAACAAGGGAAGCGCACTCTGCAGTGCCGCTGATAATGTTCACATAACCACTGTGAACGTGCGTTGATGGCCTCTTGTTGTTGTGGCCAGTTTTCAGCTTCCCGCAACTCTCTCTCTTCTCTCTCCCGCCTTTCTCGAGCTCTTTGTTCTCTGATCAACTGTTCTTTCCTTTCTATTTCTCTTCCAAACTGTTCACGTTCCTCTCTCTCCCGAAGAACACGTTCAACAAGGGCACAAGCTTCTGCAACACGCCGTTCGAGAGCAAGTAACGAGTTGTCAGAGGCCTCTATTGAATCAGTACCAAAGTCTGTGTTGTTTAACACAGAAACTCTATTGTTGTCGGCGACACCAAGATGTGGTTCTAAAACAGATGTATCATGAGTAGATCTCGCTGCCAAAACAACATCAGACGTTGTGGAACTTCCAAGTTGATACCGTGCAGCTGAATTTGCATCATCATCAATGTTTCCAGTTGTTGTCCTTGAATTTCCAAATGCTAAATTTGTTTTCTGAGCCGGCTCATCTGTGCCCTGATAAGAAATAAAAGCTGAAGCGTTGTCAGCACCAGCAAACCTATTTGTATCATGAGCAGGGCCCGTAAGCTGCTCACTTGAAAAGCTACTAAATCTTGGTGAATTATCTACAGGATCCCCAGGTAGTGTTAGTGCTGCACCTGTCCATGAAGGGTCAGCAAAACTTGAACCAGTCATTCCTGGATAACTATTTAGAACAGGGTCACTTGCCATAGGAGCATATGGCATTTGCTGTGCTGACGGGAAATAAGTCTGTCCATCAAAATGGTCAACCCCTGCAAATCTATGACTACTATGTACAAAATCACTTTGAGGAGAATAGTTGTTTGCAGCAGTTGAGGTATTTCTTGATAAATAGTTACTATGCAATGAGAACAAGTTGTCAGTGAAAAGTTCTGCATTAGAAGGGCCACCCAAATGTCCATTAGATCCAGTCACAAGTGAATTACCAGTTCCAATAAATGGCTCTGCCCTGGACGCAACCTGGCAATCCCCAAAGTACGCCTGGGCTCTGCTAGATCGAGATATGTCACCATCAATAAAGGAAGTCCCCTGTGATGGAAAGTCATTGAAGAGAGAAGCACCATCAGTTTGATAGATACTGTCATGAAGGGATTTGTCTTGGGTGTGTCTCGCTAAGAAATCACCAGCTAAGCCATCAGTTATATAAACAACGGGTTCTGTTGGCTTTGGTTGAACATCTGAACGTTGAACCTCCTTTGGTCTAGCACCGAGATGCTCCCAATCTGTTCCAGTGGATGATTGTGTCCCAAGTACCCTCCCTGCTGTTGAAGAGGTTCCTTGCTGTGTTAATGGCAGGATTCCTCCACTTGCAAAACTTTGAGTTCCAACAATCTCACCAACAAAACTGTCTGCACTTGTGCCAGAGTGTACTGGTTTTATTGCTCCGTCACAAGAATCAACAAATTCTTTTTCTTCCTCAATTTCTTTCCATTCAGCCTTCTCAGCTGCTTTATCAAAAAGCTCATCTTCCCCATCAGCCACGTAGCATTCATTGTTTTCTGAATAAGAATAAGCTGAATAAGACTGGCATGCTGCTACTGTTGGAGAGCCGTCACACTCCACGTCAGCGTAATGGAATATCGAAGATCGTTCAGTCTGCTCTTTAGTACACACTACGTTAGGGTCAGTGTCAACTGAGATTTCTTTATTTCTACAAGCCTTACTAGACAGTGTCGTCAAAATAGGTGAGCCATCAGTTGTATCAATCGTGGACTGCAAGGTGCTACAAGAATCAGCCACCACTGCAGTTTGTTCAAAACTGGATGACAATAACGAACTATCATTAGAACTTGACAAATAATCGTCTGAAGTAAGGGTGGGGAATTGGGGAAATTCTTCGGCGCTGAGAGCACTTTTCAGGGATGAATTACTGCTTTTTTCACTCTCACTTGAGACAGCGGTGTACGTGTCGGTTTCCCTTGAATTTTCACTGAATCCAAGTGATGAATTGTTTTCCTGTTCAGTTTCTGCTTCCTCTGTTATTAATGATTTATCATTTTCTTCAACACCCTGCAATTGCATCGAGTCTCCTCTGATACTCACACGTGTAAACACTCCATTTCCTTCAACGTGCTTCCTTCCATGTCTGTTCAGTTGTACCTCCAAACTGTAATCTTTAACAGATGTCAGTCTGGGTGAATTCTCAACATGATCAGGTAATCTATTTCCACTTGCTGACAAGCTCTGCCCAGAAAGAATGTCTGACCCTGAAAGAAAATAAGCAAGCAACGACACTAGTAAAAAAAAAACAAACATCCTTTATGACCACAGTCCTTGAGAATTAAATAGACCGGCTACTCCATCTAGTGAATCCAATACATTACCGTCCATCATGCATTTGGTTTGGAATCATTCAGATCTTCCTCAGCAAGTGCCTTTCCCCCGTCTTCTCTCTCCTATTTAATTCCAAGGGTGAATGCTACATGTAACAGACTAGGGAAAGGGGAGGGGATTTGTGACAGTTCACCCTCTTTCTTGACCCAGAAACACATCCCCTTCCCTCGTTTCTTTACCTGAATATCCAACTTTGTATCTGGGGTGACACACCCATCCCCACTAAAACAGCACAACTACACTGCAAACAAAATTCCTGATCAGCCCCGTGTTCTTATTTTAAAATAGACCTTTCCACTTTTTGACAAGGACCTGTTCGCACAAATGCCACAAAAAAAATAAAATAAGTAGTTGCCAAGTCAAAGAGTGATATTTCAGAAATGAGAGATGATATTGCTTTACCAAGTCACCAAAAAGTTGCCACTATCACCACCCCCTATCAAATGTCTATGAAACCCTATGATTTTGCAATTCATAGATGTTTCTTTTCAACTTACTTCACTCTCTAACTTGATGACTTTACTGATTTTAAGGTAGCGACAGATTTTTGCCAACTGATCCTCGTCAAGAATAGCCCATTTTACAGTTACAGGTGGAAACGAGGCTGAAGTTGACCTTCTTTATATACAACCCTTCCTGCTTTACTATGTAACTAATGTTTTTCTTATGTTAACTACGTATTTTTAAGCATAATTTCCATAAGAAAAGGAAAGACGTTTGTATCAAAACAAGGTCAACCTCAGCATCACGTCCACTCAAAGGCTAGGATACTAAGTCCACAACTATAAAATGGCCTATTGAAGAAAACATTGAAGGGTCTATACATGCAAACTGCTTTAACATTCATTTAACAATTAGAGTGTGTTGCTACAATAAAAACAAGAAATGATTAGGGATTCTCATTATTACCATGTTTTGCAGCTGTTAAAGGTAACCGTATTCCAAGTTTCTCCACAAGATCATATCGCTGAATCCCCGCTAGTAGGTTTGCAATATAATGGCAGGGAAATACTCCATTTGTCTCCAGTTCTTCAAAAAGTTCAAAGGCCTCTGTTATCCGTGCTAGTCTGAAACCACTGACTTTGCTTTTGACCAGAAACTTGATCTTTTTCACCTCTTCCAATGATAATGAATCAGAGATCTCTAGAAGTCTTGAGTGAAGGGAAAATCCTGAAAAAAATCAAGAGAAAGAACATAAAACAATGACCCTTGCCAAACTGATCACTGCCCATGGGAATGATATTTTTTAATCCTTTTTTTTAAATACAATGAATGGTTTGAGCCCAGGATCCCTTTGAAGCCAGATCTCTGGAAGTCTTGAATGCAGGGAAAAACCTACAAAAAAAAATAAGGCAAGAATATAAGACAATGACCCCTGCCAAATAGATCACTGCCCATAGGAATGAAAATTATTTGATTTTTTTCATTGTTTGCGACTCAATGAATGGTTTGAGTACAGGGGTCATGTCATACTCCTCCCCCTCAGTCAGAAGATGCAACATGACTGACCGGGGAATTCCTAAATAGGACTGTACTTGACAGTGACTGACGTTTCAACAACCTGTGCAGCAGTCATCTTCAGAGTCAAAGTGAGTTGTGTATCATTAATTGACAGTATTAAGCTCTCTGGTTATTGACCTAGCTAATTGTTTTATTACACTGTAAGTCAGGGTGTTATTGGTTTTCCATATCAAAGTTAAAATGATTATGAAATCTTCATACATTCGAACTGCATGAGAAAGATTTAACCTGAGAAAGACAATCACAGTTACATGGAAATATGCATCTTAATAGGTCACCAAAAAGAAAGCTTGAAAAAAGTTCAAGCTCTTAATTACCACTGAGCTATCTAGCAAACTGGCTGGAATTTTTTCAAGCTTTCTTTCTGCAACTAAGTTGCACACACGACTCCAACAATCTTTCACGTGATAAATTGTTGGTTCTCTGTCAGTTAAGCAGTACTGTTATTGGACTATAACATCTAATGGTGCATTTGAAGAACTTGAGCTCATTGGAATGCAGTTGAGAAAGATGCAGGCCGTTAAAAAATACACATAGTATGTTGGCAGCATTAAAAAGTAAAATAAATCAGAGTGGTTACAGGCTAACAACTTTGTACAGATTTTAAACATATATTTTCCAAGTGTCAAATAACATCTATTAATTCCCTGAAAATACCACTTAGCAGCAAACACTTGAAAGAAATTCTACGGAATGGAAAGTTAAGGAGGACTGTTATGAGTTTAGATATTATTAATTTGAATGAAAAATTAAGTAGTCATTGAATCTGCTGTCTTATAATAATATTATGAAGAATAATTCTCCAATTTTGCACATTATTCATATAATACTATGCAGTTTTCAGAGGGTGTTATCAACCAAATCAAAAACACCTTAATTAATCTACAAAATTCCTCTTTACATACTCAGCCTTATCCAATCATGTTAGTTTCCTCCAATTCTGCAATTCCTCACACAGTTCCATGTTCTTAAACTGTTAAGCCGCTATTTATTAGTTTTTGACATCTCCAACTAACCTGACTCATGCAGCAAAGCTGCCCCTCCGAGGAGCCTTCCATGACGCTTTCCTTTTTCTTCAAGGAACAAGTGTTTCCCCAGGTCAACTTGGAGTTTCTGATTCTCTTCTTCACTCTGCTTCAGCTGTTCCTCTAATTGCTTGATCTCTAGTTGCAGTTCAAAGCACTTCTTCCGCGAAGCTGCTAACACATTCTCAAAATCACCAGACGCAGTTTCTAAACCACTTCCCTCTGAACTTGCAGCAGATGATGGTCTTGAAATGCTCTCATGACGTTCAACAGAAAGACCTTGTTTCTGATGTTGGTATAAATCCAAATGTCCAGCTTGGTTGTTTAGAAGCAACATGCTGGAATTTGCCACATTTGACTCCGTGTTTGTGTGAACATGTTGCAAACCTGTTTTCTGGTCAACAGGGAAAATAGAGTTTTCTTCACTGCTCACAGAATTACATTCAGCAACTGATGATTGCAATTGTTGTAAATCTTCCAACTGCTTTGCTTCCCTTGTGTCTGGATCACAGCTGCCTTCCTCATTTGACAAGTGCCTGTAACTAGAGACTTCTGAATCACTTTGGTCAAGAGTGAGGGGGGCATTTGATTCTTTTATACTTCTCACAGATGACAAACTATCAGGTAATGACTTCGTTGGTGTGAAGGAATCATCAGATTCAGGAAAACTGTAGTTGTTTTCAGAAACTGAGGTCTGTTCAGATGAGACTGGTGAGTTCTGATTTACTTGAACATCACTAGCACAACTGTCAGAGGAAGATGATGTGATGTAGGAGTTCTGCAATGTTTTCTCTGTAGTGGCTTCACATTTGGCTTGTCTCAAAAGGTACTCCAGAAGACACAAATTAATATCCACGTCTGTAGGTAAGTTGCTGCTGGTATGGCTTACAGTAGGCTTAATCTCCACATCCTATCGGATAAAAGGTAAAAAATCAAGTCATTTGTATTGGTTTCTGGACATGTTAATTTAACCAACTAGTGAGTCTTTTTGTAGAACTACAACAACATGATATGTTTTTACATCACATGGAAACTCGAAAAAAAGCTGAGCCCCAGATGGGGTTCGAACCCATGACTCTCCCTGATCTAGTCAGATGTTCTAACCACTGAGCTACTGGAGACTTGATGGCGAGCCAGGGTGAAATGTGGGTCTTTGACTACAACGTGCATCATGCAATCTCATAGTCAAATCAAGAAAAGCGCATATGACTCAACTGCATCACACAACCATCCAACCACCAAATGATTCACTTGACAAAGTCCCCAGCCTGTACACTAACTGCTTCCTATTTTTTTGCTCTAATAAAGAAGGCTGTGGGCCAAAGCCCCAGAGAAATATGCCACTATATGGGATAAGGAAGGAAGTATACAGTCCACACCTGGCCCCAGTTGTTCAAAAGAGCATCCCTACCCAGAGGGACAAAAATTAATGTTATCCACTGGATAACACAATATTGGTTTCCCACTTGGTAGTGATTTATCTCTTGGATAGCACTATCCAATAATTGAACAACCAGGGCTGATAATGTATTTATTTTGGTTATTGCTAAAAGCCAGTTACTTCTCTTTAATCATAACTGCACATCGTAAATAGAAAAAACTTACCATGCCTTGCAACACATCAACAGTATGCATCTTTAAAACTGATTGTGGATCTCTGATGTCTGCACATGGAGAGTCACTTCTTTCCAAGGTCGAATCAGAGCAAAACAAGCCACTGCTCACATCTGAACTGCAGTTTTCCCTCGAGAATTCACAACAGCTCCCCTGGCCAAGCAACCATGAAGATCGTTCAAAGTTCACCCTGAAAGCTGAAGATTCCATGGTGTTTTCTAGAGCCTCTTGTACCAATGAACAGACATGCTCTAAATCTGATTCCTTGAAGCTGTAACATTTTACTGTTAAAAACTTCTTTTCAACAGCAATAGAAATAAAGGATTTTCCCAGCTTTTCAATGACAAGAGATGCTACATTTTGTGCTGGGGAAACATGAGATACAACAACACCAAGATCTGTGCTTAGTGTCAGCTTTTCATGTAATCTTTGGGTCAGACGGTCAAAGACAAACTCAGCCTCGCGCTGATTAGAACATTCAGAAGAGAGGTAGGAGACCTGTATTGATTGCTTAGTTGATTTTAATGAGGACTCCCAAGAATTCAAGTAGTTGAAGTTGTCACACTCTTGCAAATCTGACAGTTCCAGTTCAACAAGAAGAGGAAGACAGTCTATCAGCCTCCAAAGGAAATGAATGTTGAGTGTAGGGATTGTCATTTCCCTATACAAATCATCTCTCTCTACAAAATCTTTGCGGAATGATGGTTGTAAAAAAAGCGTCAAAACACTCTTTTGGAGTGCAAAGGCCAGGAAACTAACGTCTTCTTGAATGTTGTGAGGAACCCTCAAACACAAGACAAAATACTTGTTGTTTACAGATGATAAGAACATTTGAGACCCTTCACTTTGTTCATCTGGTTCTTTTGTGTCACTCACTGGATGATTGCCCATTTGCCCACCAGACTCTGAAAAGGCTGGCTTTGGATGTGAGGATAAAATGCAAACTACTGGCTTGTCAAAGACAGGCAGTCTGTGCAAAATGTGGAAAACATCTTGACCAGCAAAATCTTTTATTTGAAGTTCCTCTGTTTTGTGTCCCTCCATGTAATCAATGAGCAAAGCAAGATGCCTGTATCTTTCATCACCAGTTTTGAGGTGCACCAGATTAACAAGAGCTACAACTTTCGCGCAGAGATCAAAGGATCTGTCTATATCAACTGCTAGTGATGGAACTAGTAAATGGACTAATGGAGAGTAGATAATTCTGGTTTTGATCCAGGATTCACTATTAATGTCTAAATGCTGTACAACATCCTCAAAAGACTTTTCTGCCTCTTCCCTGTCCCTCAAGGAGAGCTGCAAGACACCAAGCAAACTGTGGCATGCATTGACAAAAGAATGATGGGGCTTCAGTCCAAGATGTAAGAAGATGTCAATTGCTGTTACCAGTTTTTCTCTGGCTAAATTCCACAACGACTTTTCTTTTAGCAAGACCGTGGCAGACTGGAAATATCCACTGGCTAACATGGGAGACAGCTCACCACAAGCTGAAATGAAGATGCCCAAAGCTTCTTCCATGGTATCACAGGCACACTGAAAGTTTTTCTCCTCAACCTTTAAAAATGAGAGTTCTAGAAGAATCCTTCCAGCTTCTGGATGATTATGATTTAAATTTGTAAACTTTGCCAGGGCTTCATTTAGATGCTTCAAAGCTTCTTTGTAGTTCCCCATTAGCAAAAAGCAGGAACCCAACACACTCATACAAGATGCAACTGTGTGGTGTTCTTGGCCAAAATAGGATATTAGAGTGTTCACTGCCTGTCTGAGTGCCATTAAAGCTTCAGAAAACTTTTCACAGGCAATAAAGAAACAACCAATCTGATATAACAGAAAACCATAGAGTGAAGCCTTTCCACCATGAACAAAGAGGAAAGAATTCTGCAGCTTTATCAACAAACTGCAAGCTTCATCAGGGTAACCATTCTTGCAATGAATCTTTGCTGCATTGATCATTATTCGTATGACCTCAGTGTTCATCAACTCTGTATCAGGATCATCAAGCAACATAAGTAAACTGTGAGAAAAAGCTATGACCTCTTTAGCTGCAACATTTCCACTAGTTTCCTCCTTTAGTTGGAGTTTCATCAACTGCTTCGCTAAAACTACTGACATAGGCATACTGACACCAGCAAAGTCAAAGCGAGCACAAATCCTCAGGAATTTGTAGAACATCACGTAGTCTTCTAACTCTTTTAACATATCGGCAGCTCTTACTAACACCTTGACTAGCAAATGAACATTCTTTTCTGTTATCTCAAATTTGTGGCAATATACAGCAGCTATTTCAGAACAGAGACTTCGTGCCTTTTTGTAGTCCCCAACAGCTTTGTACAGAACTGCTTGGTTTAAAGACACTGCTGCACCTCTCAAATGGTCTTCTTGGAGATCAAAACAACTTTTGGCCATAACAAAGCACTCAGTACTCTTCTCAAAAAGTGATTTTTCAGTAAACATCACCCCAAGGTTGTTGATTACAACTCCAAAACCAGGATAATGTTCATACTGACCAGCCAAAGTTTGGATTACTTCTAAGGACTTTGTGGCAACTTTCTCGAAAGCAAACAAACTCAGGATGGCAAGACAGTTCATTAGGTTGAAATCTCCATTGCCTTGGCAAGTAAAAACTATGAATTCACTTTGGCAGGCACTCCAATGTTTGGAAGAATTCCAAACCCTCTGCACTAATGTCTTAAAATTCTTCTCACTCAGGTTAATACCATCTAAATCTGGCATGACACAGTCTTTCAGGCTGCTTTCTTCTCCCATTCTCTTTTCAGTATCTTGCCATTCTAAACCTCTAATGATAGCCTCAAGCTGTTCACCACTTTCCTTTGGAATGGAAATAAACTTGGCCAATAATTCACTTGAAGGTTCTGTATGAGGAAGAACATAAAATACTGGAGTTAGAAATAACAGCTGCACAATTCACTTTAGGGAGCTTAAGCAGTGAAAAAGGCACTATTAAAAAGAAGAAGTCAAGTTCTTTAAAACTCTATCACAATGGCCTTCTTCATTATTGTTATCATCATTGTTGGAGTTGAAAATTATTCTTATGGACTCTATCTAAGTTCAAATAGGAAAAGAAAAGTTAGTCATCATGTGTTTGCCTCCTTCATAAATTGTTGCATAAGCAAATTTCACATTGTAGTTGTGCAGTGGAAGAATAATTTTATATGGCATTGAGCATCATGCACCTCCAGAGGTGTTGTTTTGCACACACAATTCACGTAGAGACTTGTTTCACATTTAACTTCACTTTACTAATTACATGGAACTTAAAATAGCTCATAGTTAGCTATCAACATGAAGTGGTCGTGGTTGCTTACAAGAGGTTCCAAAAAAAGATAAATTGAAAGAGAAAATAATATTAGAATCAATGGTTCAAATGGAGGTTTAAGAAATATTATTGTAGGATGTCAACGAATTACTTCCAAATGTGTGCATTCTCTCAGCTCCGACCTCTTCTGAAGTCATACATGTAATTACCTTTGAAATGAGGCCAGGAACGAAATATGCATGGATCACTCAAAATATGTGCAACAAGAGAAGCTGCCATCACACTTGCAAATGCTTGCCAACTGTTCACATTTAACTGGGCACTGTCTCCAAAATGGGAAATCCCTTTTACAATCAACCATTCAATCTGAAGGTCAAACGCTGCTGCAAAAATGCCTGCATATAAAAAAGAAACAAAAATAATAAGAAAGTACTTGAATGAGAAACTGTAATATAATCATTATTATTATTATTATTTGGCAGTTTTACATGTCTGGTGCTCAGTATTAGTAAAAAACACAGAAGTTGGGCGTCTGACCGTAAGAAACTCCTGTGCCGTGAAGTCTTTGTTATGTAAAAATATTTAAATATCAAGAATATCTTAGTCATGGCTGGATCTTGTAAAACTATTAAAATGTTAGAATACATAAAAAAATGTTTCCGTTTTCAGGAGCTGCATCTCAAAATATGGTACACCTGAGTAATTGTTGTATTTATATGTAATTTTATGAAGTTAAGCGCAGTTTATGAAGCTAGTTCCTGCATATTAAGATTTGACACACTGATCTGACCTAGTATAAGGTTTGATATAAGCGTAAAGAACTTTAAAAAGCCTTTAGTCGATATTACTTCACCGAAAATAGAAAAAACTTTCCAAAGAATATTTAGTTACAATTTTGGCTGTAAAAAATGCTTAGAACGATTTTCTTGTTGCGAGTTCATCTTTGAAAACAGCAAACACTGGGAAGCTTAAAGACTCAGGATTTTTAGTGACACTTAAACAATTATTTGTTTTCATGAATGAAAATTGTTGTCTTCGTAAATGTTCTACCAAATTATATTTCTTTATTTATTGTAAGTAGTCTCAAAAGTGCAATTTTCAGCATGAACATTGCTTGCAGGAGTACTCAAAATGCAGAGCTTATCAAATGCCTTTTAGTTATAAAGCCATTAATAAACAAAAAAACACAATAAATTCTTTATCATGTTGAAGCGTAACTCTTTTAAATTTCTTTGCAAATAAAGTGCGTGTCAAAAGTTAGAACCGGCTGGCCATATAGGTGATTTTGGAAATTTTTTTAACGGTTTCGCTAAAAGTCCATGTGGTCCAAAATATTGAATGTGTGCAATTATTTGTCTTGAAAAATTGTGAAATACTGCATTTTGTACGAGGTCTGTATGATAAAAACAGCACCTCATAGTACTCTTTCTCCTAAGACTTGATGTATAAAAAAGTATAAAAGGTTGGTTTGCACACACCCAGATTTGATGGCAAGAATTTGTAAAGTAAACTTGTTGGACGCAAAAAATTTGACCTGATTTGTTTTCCAAGAATTTGTTTTCCATGCCTAATCTACTGTGATCAAGAGCCATTATTGCTCTTTAATGTCCCCAAAGACTATTTTTTGGGTCTACATTTAAGGCCAACAACTTGATGCAAGATTTGCTTCACTCTAAAATCACTTAGCCTTTCCCTCAAAAGTCACATGAATGTGCCCTCAAGTTAACTGATTTGTGGAATACAAGTTTATTGTTTGATTTAAATTATAAATTTATTCATGGGAGCTTCGCTTTAAGCCCTGGCTAAATCTATATACAAGTAATAATGAAAATAATGATAATTACTATTATTACAGTCAACTCTCTCTACGACGGACACCTTTGGGACCGGAACTAAGTGTCCGTCTTAGAGAGGTGTCCGTCTTATAGAGAGTCAAATAAAGGGAGTAAAGAAAGGCAGGGACCAACTCTAAGTGTCCGTTTTACAGAGGTGTCCGTCTTATAGAGGTGTCCGTTAAGAGAGAGTCGACTGTATCATCATTATTATTACAATACATTATTGCAATAATCTCACTTTGCAAGATCTGCCTGAGAAAAAAATTTTCAGCCCACATGAATTTATAAGGAATTTAAACAATTTCCAGTACTAATCTATTTAAATTCCCCTCAAAAAACTTAACTTGCTTAGTTAAAAACTGAATTCACTAGCCTGATTGCAAAATCCACTAGGCTAGCCCAGGGTTATCAGACTTGACTTTCTTTCCATGCTGGTATGAACTCGTGAAAAAATTACAATTTCTGGACAAAAGGTGCTGCCTTACTGACGATGAGTGCACCTTTGCAAACTGCACAATAAATTTAAAAAAGGAAAAAAAAAATGACTGACACTGTGTAAACAAATCAATCTAATAGTAATGAAAGAACAAAGTCTAGTAAGGTAAACTTTTTGCCAACACACAAAAAACAACAACCTTACCTTCTCCTTCCATCTCAAAAGCAACTGCCTCGGGATAGAGCTCAGCAAGCTCTTTACGTCGTAACTCATGGCTCACAACCTCTGGGCCACTCAGAAATTCACCAAGATGAACTTTGACTTCTTGAGCTTCAGAGTTTTTCAAAGGTGCCTTCCAGCCATCAGCACAATTCTTAATAACATAACAAAAGTGTCTGTTAACATAGTAGTTTCCACTAGACTGCGCCTGGTGTTCTGTTACCTCTTTGGATCCACATGCCCTTAATTTGGATGACACAACAACATCACCTAACTTGGTTTTTTTGGAGTTGAGGCCACAGCATGTCCCAACAGAGATAACTGCCTTGGGTCTTAGCACCTTGGCAGCATTTTTCACAGTAATCAAGGAGCCATCAGGACCAAAACCACCACTACAACACTTCATCAATGCAACCTTTAATCCTTCTTTTTTACCTTTATCCATATTCTCAAAGTAAACATAACCAAGGTCAGGGAAATACCATCGGAAGGGATCTTGCAGCTGCTGGTAACATGCTAAGAACTCAGAATCCTCAACTGTCAACAAAAGAATGTCAACAGGCAGTTCAGGTTGCTCTGCTTTCAGTTGGACATCACTCATGGATGGTAGTTCAGCACAAAGTGGAAGTAAGTCACCACCACTAGCCATGTCTGTTGCTGAAGATTACTGGCAAATAAAGAAAAAGACAACAAATGAATTCAAGTTGACAAAAGTTTATTAAATGAACAATAATTAATGATAAGTGACTATCCTATTTCCTTTATCCTTAAAGCCCCAATATTGACAAACAAATTCTCCACACTGATCTCTAAATAAAAAAGTGTATTTCCTTAAAAACTTAGTTGAGAAAATTTGATAGAAGATTGAAGCCTTTTTCCTTAGGCAGGGCTCGAAATTGTGACTGATACGGTCGCCAATGCGACTAACATTTTCTCCTTGGCGACTAAAAATTCTGGTTTAGTTGCCAAAGTGGCAAACAGATTTCTCTATATTTTAGATTTAAATTAAAAGAGTATAGTTAACACAAACATTTCATATTATCTTGCTTTGCTTTCATCATAAAAAATGTTCCAAATCGCATAAATAAAGCCAGGTAACCTCAAATTTATACCGACTTCTATCCATTGTGTTTTCAAATCTGATGGACCGTGCCATACTATGCAGGGCTTTTCTAATAGGTCGCGGAAAAAAAGTCAAATCTTACGGGATTTCTAGGCACAAATTCACAGAATAATTGGTCAATTTCGCAGGAATTTTTAGGGCAAACTTCACGAAAAGCAATCAGGAAAAACAGACGATTTTGTGGTTATTTTCAGGGAAAATTTGCTAGAAATCGATCGGTTTTGTGCTGATCAGACCAGCATTTTAAATGTTTTTCTAACAGAGGTCATCATTTGCTCTCTCAATAATACGCTCCAGAAATGAACTAATGGCAAAACCTTTAACATCATGGCTGGTGCCCAGTTTTTTGCAACATAATCTACGCCTGGTAGTTTTGGGACGTTGTTTGCACGTTTCAGTGACAAAGTTTCAAGACAAATTTGCTGAGATAAGTTCCAAAATGTTGTACAGACATGTATTTGATAAGATTTCTACAGAATTTTGCAGTAGTTTGCGTGCTTTTGTGAATTTCGCGGATTTACCTGAATTTCACCGATTCATGACCGCGCAAAATATCACAAGCCCTGAGCTGCGTCATTGACATTACACAAAGTGGTGGCTAAAAATTTGCATCTGGCAACTATATTTCTCCAGTTGGTTGCCAAAAGGCGACCCGAGGCTTTTTTTTATTTCGAGCCCTGTTAGGTGATCATCCTTGTTAATCAAGCAAGAAAGGGAATGAATTGAATGATTATGCTTCTTTTGCTAATTCCTGGTATTTTGGGGTAATTTTCATAGAGGGCATCTATTAGACAGGGGGCATTTATTAGAGAGGAGCATCTAAAAAATTTTTAACAGTGTAGAAGGGACATTTATTAGATAAGACGGGTTTATTATACAGGTTTACAGTATGTTATGAATAAGTAAGGCCTGTCTGGAAAAGATACTGATGCTTGTGACAGTCTAGCGTGCGGGGAGCAGATGCTTTTTTCAGCTCTTTTTTCACCTGCAACAAGAGCCAAAAAACGTGTCTGCTCCCTGCAGGCTAGTAACTGTCAAGCTGCCCATGACACATCCATGACAAGGGTAATGAGTAGGTGATGGTTTATGTAATCATAGTTATTATCTTAAGTATAAAACAGTGCGACTACATTTTCCGCAAAAGCTCTTAACAACTGTGCATCTTTCTATCAATTTAGTAAGAAAAAAATGCAACAAAGGGTATCTGCGATAAAACACAAGCATGGTTGAGTGGCTTTCTGTACAACTCCCAGCACATTTCGAATTTTCACACTACATGTATCATAAAACCTACATTGTATCTCTTGAGCATCACAGGGATCAAATTTTTTCTTGTCCAGAACAGAAAATTAAATTTTGAGCCCTGTAATGCACAAGGGAAAGATGACAGTTTGAAAAAGTCAAAGTTTATAAGAATTTGTGAGGAAAACCACTCAACTGTTACTGGGTGGCAATAGCTATTTTTCTCATACAGTGAATCCTTCTAATTTTGGCAGCAGCCAGTTTTAAGATATATGGCTGAAGATTTACAGGTTCAAACATTATGCACTTGTACATGTAGTTTCTGCTAAAATAATTTTTGAAAAAATTATGTTTGTTTTTACAGAAAGTTGATTTCATGTGACCAACTATTGCAAAAGACCTTTAGCCGTTTGATTTATGTACAAGTCACGTACAATAGTACTTCACATGCACAAAAGATTTCAATACGAAATGCAATGAACTACAATTTTACACATTTAAAATTTATTTTAAAAAAATTACTGCTGTATTTTTCTTGTTAACTTTTTTTACAGTCTAACAATACATATGTACATGCATTTGTTACATTGTATTATAAACGTTTTTCCTTCTCAGCTGTACAACTGTGAGCTCCATTTATATTAACCACCCACCCTAGGAAGAAAGCACCCGATTCAAATAGTGTGTAAAATATTGATTTATAATGAAAGCAAAGCCTAATAATTATTGCCCAATCAAGCAAGTAACTTACACATTTTCAAAAAGCCAAACTGCAAATGATTTCGACTCGGTAATATAATCAGGGCTTAAAGTTAATGACTAACTGGTCGCATATGCGACTGGATTTTTGGTTGTGCGCCTAAAAAATGAAGTGTAATCACACCTGTGTGCCATAAATTCCAAAGCACAGTGCGACTGACTTGCTTCTCTGCTTCCTAACCTGACCATAGTTACGTACTCAAACTAGTAAGACATTAAACAGCAGCTTCAAGCAATGAAAGTAAAAGTAATGTAGAAATAGCACAACCAGGCTCTAAATAATATTAAGTCACATTGTTTTCCTTTCATCTGTGTAAGTTTAATTCGTTCAATTCGTTCTTTCTCCCAATGGATTCCACAAATTTCATTTTGATGTTTAACTCCATCCCAGACTCTTCTGTTTTGTAATAAACACCGCTGACACATGCAAATATGCTACGAATGAAACACATGCTTTGTGCACAATAAAAATAATGATCATGTCGAATGTTCAGTTCAAAGGTCGGTCAAAACAAAATCAGTGCGGATTAAGAGCCTTTTTTTCTTGCAGGTAAGAAAGCTTTTTAGTCATATCTCAGTTACATGTAAGTCATTGCACATTTAACAAATTCGTTACAAATTAATTTTCATTCTCATTTGACATACAGCTGTACTCTCACTGTTGTTGTGAATTTTTTTCAAGTGCAAGTTTTCTTGAGTCACAACTGCCATGTCAAAAAGAGAAATTAGTATCAAAAATCACAACAGTATTACTGCATAGCAAATCAGCTGTCTTTTATCAAGTGAAGGACTGAAATAAAAGTAACAAACTTAAGCCTTTTACTTTTTCTTTTCAAATAAGTGCCCCCAACATTGTAAGCCGTGCTCCTAAAATTTTCAGCTGTACACCTAAAATTTTGGCAGTGTCCTTAAAATTTTTATCTGGTAGCACAAGTGTTCCCGAACTCAAATTTAAACTTTGAGCCCTGATAATCAGACTACGTGTATATTAAGGAACAATAATTAAGATATGATATAATAATAATAAATAAATCACAACCCTTTTAGCTTATCTTGTAAAATTTTCTCATAACTTTTTCTCACTTTAACTTAGATTGTGAGAGCCTGTTCATGTCAAAAGGGCATTCAGAATGAACTTAACTAAAATAAAAGGTAACTTTACAGTAGTTACTTACAATGTACTGCCATAACACTGCCTCAGAGAAAAAAATGATGAGCTTCACCATGATTACATGGTGTTTTTTGAGGAAATCAAGCAAGGTGGTCAGATGAAATCAAAACATTTTTTTGAACCCCATGTATAGTGTAAACTCCCGTACGAACGACGCAACGCTGCCGCAGCGCTGCAGCAGTTCACTTTTATGGTTGCACAGCGCTTAAGCGTCTGTAAAGCGGTGCTCGTGAGTCGCTAAAGCAGAGAACGTCACATTTTGTGCACTGCGAAAGCGCTGCAAAATTTTGCCACGGTAAAGCAGCGGTAAAGCAGCGCTGCGGGCCGCTGCTTAAAAGCTGCAATGAGACTTAGATATAAACATTGAAACCACTCCATATGACAACCTGAATACAAGCGACGCTTGAGGCTGCATTATCGCTGCACAACGCTGCAGATACCAAATAAGGACTTAAAGATCTTCAAAATTAAAACCCTGGAGAGCAAACCCGTACGAAACTTGCAGCGCTGTACGGCGCCACAAAATAGCTGTACAGCTAAATTACAGCTGTTTAGCAGCATTTTAGAAGCCAAACAACAGCTTAATCCAAGTTGCAGCGGGATGCAAAAGCGCTGGTGCTGCCTTTGAAGCTCTCGGCAGCAGTTTTGCAGCGCAGTTGCCGACTTTCAATAGCTGCAGTAACGCTACAATTCAGCTACGCTGGATCTGATAGCACAACGTTCTTGAGCGCTCATAACATGAACCGCCAGAAAAGCCTTTTGCCACAGATTACGGCTTTCATAACGAGAAAACTTTGACTGTACCTCTAAGAAATGTGAGTAAGCTTTGCGCAGGGAAGATCACTTATTGAATAAACCTCCAAATTCTATGCTTTTGGAATAAAGATTTCAATAAATTTTATTCCGTGACTGGCGAGAGTGTGGGAATGTTATCGCTAATTCCCTGGAGACATTCTAGGCTGTAATCTAATTGGTCGGCACTTTTGCATCAGATCACATTACATCGCTGGACAAACATTTGCGACCGTTGAATGAAAGGCGCAAACATTCATACATTGTAAGTGTTTAGCATCTAGTTCAGTGTTTCGAGGTGGAAGTTCTGTTGATGTTTTTGGATGGAACAGCTCAAAGGTATTTGTAAACAACGGCACTATTCAGTGAATTCTACGCGAAGTACCGACGAATCGAACCAGAGCAAGCAAGACAGATACAAGAATCTGAGCTGGGGTACGCATGTATTTACAAGATTCAAACGTTCACGATGATGTACGTTCCTTAATTAGTCCATTGTAAATTTAACGATGACCAAGGTAAAATTGGGTTGATTTCTTTCATGAAAACAGTGACGGCAGATCGTGGATCATGGACAAAACGT